ATCATAATTTGTTTTTATCATAAAGTATCTTTTTCTATCTTTTTCTTGCGCTTATCCGAAAATTCGATACATCACACTCTGCTGGGTCGTCGCGTAATAAAATGACTTCAACCAAGCTCCGCGATTAACTCAGATTAATTTTATTCATGTTGATAGAATGAATTCTAGCTTGTCTTTGCACATGCCGCAATAAAATACTTTAATTTATTATCTATTCATATTTGCGCTTCTCCTCTGTATCTATTTTCGGATCAGCCACTTCTCACTATATTGCTTCTCGCTTTTGATTCAGTAACGGTACCTGTCTTACTCTTTACATTTTCTACATTCTTGACACAAACATGGTATTCTCATAAACTTTTTACTGATATTTCTTAATATTTTCTTCAGTCGCTAATTAGGTATTATTTATTCTACGACTCCATACATCTCTGTATATGTATGTATATATTTTGTATATTGGCGCTTATATGATCATCTTTGGATATTATTAATGCAAAATCATATTTATACATACAATTTGTCATTATTAAATCAATATTATTTTATTGTTACATTAATTACATTAATAAAGATATAAATTTAATAAAAGTTCAAGCAGGATCATTGCTGCTATTTTACTATTTACTATATTCACTTTCATGTACAACATTTCATCTCTTCTACACTTCTCTTCTCCTACAATAAAGTTATTAAGCTATTATTATTAATGATACGAGCGTTACCCGACAAATTAATCTGTGATTAACACATTGACCGCCGGATAACTCGCAGTTGCGGTGATCTACGGATGGATCTACGGGGACCAGCTACTCACCGAATCGTTTTTTTGAAGGGGAAGATACAATTTTATTCAGTTTGAGATGAGGAATAAATATAGTTAAGTAACATTATTAAACGATATAAAATGTTGATATTAAATTGGTGTCGGTAGCAAAGTTATCTAATTTACAGTGATGATAGTCAACGCGTCGGGTTAATCGGAGCTCGATCGAAATCGGCCTGGGGGTCGATCATGCATCTTGAAAAAAAAAAGGTGAAAATGAAAATTACAAAAGTAAACAGATTTACTAGATCGTAATTTTCACTTCTCTTCAAGATTTATGATCGACCCCCCGAGCGAGGGGGAGCATATCCAACATCGATTGGCGCGGAAGAGAAGAGAAGCGAAACGGCCGCGGCGTCGCCGTTATCGATCAGAAAATAGCCGGCGCGACGACGCCGACGACGCGCGCGTCCGCCGCTGACGTCACCTCGACGCTCGGGGGGACGAGAGGGGAGAGGGACGTCGTCCGTGCGCCGCGCTCCGGCCTCAGAGGACATCGGGATGATCCGCGCCATGGACGTCGTCGCCGTCGCTGTCGCCGTCGTCGCCGCGGCCGCTTAAACTCGCCGACGCTCGACGCCGAGCATGTGCCCCTAGACGCGCCCTCGCCGCTCGCCGCCGCCGTCGCCGCCGCCGCGGCCTCCGCCGAGAGCGTGATCCGCGCTCAGTCGCGGCCGTCCGCGCCGCGCTCGCTTCCGGCGAACTCCGATCGATCGGCGGCGTTTTTCACAGTTTCCCACGCGAATACACGCGATACCGATATACCTATTAGGCTGTCAAGATGGGCTCGATAGTGCTCAAGTCGCTCTCGGTGCTCCTCGGCATATTCTTCGTCTTCGTCGGCACGATGAAGCTGACGTCGCACATCAGCAAGGACCTGCACAAGGACCTGGTAAGTTCGCTTCCTCGCGACCGACGAATCGATCGCTTCTTTTTGCCTGTGCGATTAAATTACATTTAAACGAGACTATACACGCAGTAACGATAAACGGCGATTTCAGCGACTCGATAAATGATAGAATTTATAGTCAAAATTGACTGTTTATATAGTCATGGTTGAAATTACCATTAGGTTTAGCAATGGCGAACTGACAGGTTCCAAAGAGACGCAAAGCTGATGAAGTTACCGTCCGCTGCGGTTCAATATCCGTCGGAATTAGCAAAACTGATTCAATTTAATGTCGTTACGTTTAACAGGATTAATATCGTTATGTCGTTACGTTATAACAGCGTTGAGGTCGACGGACGAGAAACGATTTAGTCGCTGAAACTAGTACTGCTTTTATCGCGTTAAGTAGTCCCAATTGTAGTCTTATAATTGCTAAATTAATTCAAAATTAATAATTGGCAGCGAGCGTCGCGCGCAGACTTTCGCCCGGGGATCAACAGTCCGATCGATCGAGATTTCTCTTCACCCAATTAGATCCCAATGGTCGTTCACCGATTTATCCACAAACGAGTGCTGCAAAACATAACACGATTAGCAAATTATTAACATTGCTGTTAAATAATATTTATCTGATTAATGTCCATTTCTATCTAACGCAGATTGACTTTAATCTCGGTTTAATTTACCTTTCATCTTTTTCTAATTTTAAGAGTTACATAAAGATAGAAAGTAAGTTAAACCGAGATTAAAGTTAATCTACATTGGTAGAAATGGACATGATATATAATTAATAATAAGCGAAACTGGACCAATATGAATCTTACAAATTATCAATTAGAGAAGATGCGATTTCCGATCGGGCTGAGGATCTTGGTAATAATATTTTACATTCCTGTGTGAATTTTGTAAACTTTTTTTCAACTCGGCAAACTGCGCGCCGATTATTTCTGTAAGGAATTTATTGCGAAAAATATCGCCAAGTCAGAGTTCGAGAATCTGGACCTTCATCTACAATCCCTACAACCCGAATGATTAATAATTAATTAAATCATAAAAAGAAATTATTTGACCGCTTCTAGCAGACTGACAGGCTGGACCCCATTCATTGTCACGTCCGTCATCCGCTTGTCTTATGTAATTTTGCGGACGTCGGTGTCGACGTCGGTGCCAAAGTGGCTAACGCCGCGAGTGCAGGTCCCCCCTTCTTCCCCTTCCAACCCCGCGTATCACGTCCGGTCTGTCACGACCCGGCTTTGTTATGTAATGTAACATTTACGTGGCTCGGAGCTTACCGCCGCTACCCTTGGTTCCGCCGATATAACGCGCGCGCGCTTACGGCGTTCCCCCTTGTCGGTCGAAGCTCCCGACGCCCCCCGTTCCCACGGTGCTCGTTTCCGGATTGTTAACGCTCCAGAGATGAAAAAAAAAAGAAACTCGACGGCAAATACGAATGACACGGTTCGCCACGTTTATCGGGTTAACGTTTGGGCGCACCAGCCTCTTTCTCGGAAAAGCGCGATGAAAGGGCGCGATTGATCCAACGAACTTTATTAACCGAATTTTTTCTTTACAAAACGAACGACGTAATTTTACAAAGGAATGAACCACGTTAAAGTCGATCTTTTAGCTGTATAAAGTGATTTTTGGATATGTCTAGGATTGTCTAAGAAAAAGCGGTTGAACTTGGTCTCGCGTGAATCGGAATAAGTAAAATGTATCGACAATCGCGCATGTGTCACAGACGATACATAAATATTGTAATTAATTTTCTAATTAATTTATTATTAAATTATATTATATTTATCCTTTTTATTCTTGCCGATCTTATCCAGACGTCTACGAAAGTTTACATAAAAGATAAGAGAACACTAAAGCTCTACATTTTATAAGTATAAACTACGCACCGTAAAATATTAATAAAAATGGAAAAAAAGTTCGTACAAATTATGAAAACCAGCTCGCATCGAGGGTCTATCACAATGAGGTCAAGGGCGTCGAGGGAGAAAAAAAATACAATTTTTTGAAACCTGGTCGATTGTAAGGTGCGACACATACCGTGTCGCCCAGCTCGTTATAGACGGTATAAAAATACACGTACGCTCGATAACGTATAGTCGTATACCGAGTCGTATTAGAATATGTGCGCTGCAGGTGTTAAAGATTGAACGCTGATACGGCCACGTGGAAACGCACAATGGTCATTAGCATACTTTTTATCAAATCTGAAATATATTTATCGATAAAAAATTATTATTTGTAACAAATATCAAGTGTTCTTTCATGGTTAGCCTTTTGCCTTTTTATCAAAAGCCTCACGTACTGTTGTGTAGTTACAATTAGTGTTATACGGCTTAATATGACATTTTAATTCCGTAAAGCACGGACCGTCGGTGTGTCATTCCGCTATTTCAGTATCTCCGACATTGCCCAACGAAAGTGATATTAAGGTAAACATCGGTGCAGATTGCTTGGTCAACCGCCAATAAGCTCGCTAACTCGCTGGCGAATGATATTTATATACTTCGCGTATTAGAACAAGTCAGGCTTTCTTCAAGTCCTCGAATTGTCTGGGGCTGCCAAAACGGGCTCCCGATTATTTCGCCGCTATGTAAATACTGTGCAGTAAAAACAGAGTTCAGTAACAGAGTCACTTTAGAGATGAATAATGAGACGTATTTCTCATCAAATTTTGAAATAATTCTTTTCTCTGTCGACATTTAATTGTATGCTACACATTGCTACACATTCGAGTAATTTTTAAAACGTCAAACATCTTTTAGCGTCAAACATCTTAATTCTCGAATCTAGGCTTCAAATGAGAACCCGGGAAAAAATTTTTCCTGTATAAATATATATAAAATATGTCCATATACCTATGTTTTCTTTTTCTCGAATTATACTAAAGCTTCACCTAAAATCAAGCGAAGAATATACGATTTGTTATTTATTCACTTCCCTTGTTTGCATTCGTCAAAGCTTACTTTTTAACCAACTGCAATTCAAAAGATTATTTTTAGTATTTTTCTTAAAGGAACAATTATTGAAATTTTTGACAAAAGATATCGCGACACATGTTAAATTCATCTATCAGCGAATATTATATATTC